TTCAAACCTTTTCAGATCTCAAAGCTTTTTGTACAGTCACTGATCTTTAAGACTCACTGAAACAACTTAGCCAAAACAAGACATAACATACAAGAGAAAGAGTGGAAGTAGGTGTCTAACCTGTGGCCTCACCTGCCGAAGCAGTTCTTGATGCTTCAGTCTCAGCCTTTCCTTCTCCATCTGTAGCTGCTGAAGTCTCATCTGCTGTTGCTGATTGGAGCTGCTCCCGCCCATCACACCACCTTGGGGACTCTGAGGAGCCAGAGGGGGTGGCTGTTTCACTGGAGCACTTTGGCTGATTCGCTGATTCATGGCTAAGGAACCAAAACAAGCAGCATTTAAAAATTATATTCAAACAAATACATGCAAGGAAAGTATTATCCCTAGAAGGTATATATTAAAAACTTTATAAAGTTACAAGCCATGACTGTACAAAACATGCAGCTGCACTGATGTTCAGAGTGTGAAGTGTATGCTCATGTGTGATTCCTGTGAAATCAATGCAACAGTCTCATACTTATTAAGAGTACATACTTGTTCTAAAACCTTCTGAACACAGTTAAATGTGCAAGTTGGTGACAAATTCAAAAGCGGTAGTAAAATATTTAAAGTTTTGTGAGAAGGATCTCTCTCTCTTCTTCCTAATAAACTATACTGAATTTAGACACATAATACAAAATTACTTTTTGTATTCCTGTGAAATCTTACAGTTGTTAAACTTGAGAGCACATAGAACGACAAAACAGATCCTCATTTTTGCCCCACATGAGACCAATTCGGTTAGTTAGCTGAGGCACTGGAGTTCCCATAATGAAACAGAGGGCTGGGAAAGGCTGGGTGTATTAAAAGAGCACCATTTTCAGGGACTTTTAGTTTTGGAATTAGTTCTCCATCTTGTTGTCTGGCACAGCCCGACTGTTAACACTGACAATATGCTGCAGAATGCATTTGCCGAAGGAGTGATGGGAGAGTGGTAGGGTATTGTGTGTTTTTTTTTTGGGGGGGGGGGGGTGGGAAATAAGGACTATGGTTTATGGAAACTAAGAAAAAAAAAAAAAGGAGTGAGCTTCTTTTAGGATGACAGGCTGATTTGGTGCAAAGAAAACCATCTGTTTATTAGTTTGAACTAATGTTTTCATCATATATAGAGGATTCCTGGAACACTAACACTTCTAACTATCATAACAAAGCATAATTATCTCAAAGAATCCGTATCATCTTTTCTTTGAAAAGTCCTTCCATCTCCACTGTCTTTTGAGTATTCAACTTAAGGTTCAGAAGTGCTGTTCTTCTGTTCCAAGAAAGCCTAATTAAATAAATTGATCTCATAATAGCAGTAAAAACGGCTGCTGCTTCACAGCCTTGCTCCCTTTTCCCCTTGCCATGGCTCATCTTTCCATTGAGAGATAACATAGGAAGAAGAAATGCCATATGCTCACTGGAATGAGAAAATGAAAAAAAAAAAGTACCTAGTTACAAACTCCACTCTCTAGTCTACCCTTCCAGCTATTCCACAGGTCCAGCAGAGTCAACAGTCTAATGGACAGGTGGGTCACATTTTCATGAGTCAAGTCAAAATAAAATGAAGTGTTATAGCTTGAAGCAATTTGAAATAACCTTTTATGCAGTTACTTGTGAGAAAGCTTCATACATATGATCACGATTAAGATAAAACTTCCTGTAAAGGTAAGTGAACAGGTGAAGCAGGAATAGAAACTGACTCCCAGTACCAAGGAGAAACAAGAGCGAATACAGAGGGCTGGAGGTTCAACTCCAACCTGCAAGCCCCATCCTGACCGAGCAGGCAAAAAAAAAAAAAATAGTGGGAAGAAGACGTTGCTGTGGATTAAAGCTTAAAATCAAGCAGTTGAGACATCCAGCACCACTTTACCATCAAAACTGAACTTTTGGAAGAATGTGACCAGGATGAGCCCATCAATCTGCTTTGCAACATGAGCTGTGGTCCCTAGGCCAGCAACAGGAAGAGACAGGACAGCTTGTTCCTCTGCTAAACAGACACAGAAGGTTCATATGCCCCGAGACTTATTGTAGTGGGGTTGGACTAGATGACCTTTAGAGGTCCCTTCCAACCCAACATATTCTATGACTCTAAGGCACCAGAAACTGTTAAGCAAAAGTTTCAACAGCACGAACAGCTATCCTACAAGGATGTGACCAGTGAGCTGTAATTACAAGCTCCAGGACCTCCACTGGGCAATCTCTGCTGGAAGAATGACAGCAATTAGACTACCTACACTTACCAAATTAGGGCAAAGTTGAAACTAGAGAGAGCAATGCAGAAAGAAAGGAAGCCCACCTAGCAGCTCTAGACAACATACATGACACTGCTGGAGTGGGGAATATATCTCTTCCTTTTTCTCTTTTTACTCATAATGGTACCAAGTCCAGAACCAGGACCATGTCTTTTGCTTTTTATATCTTCACAGAATCGCAGAACGTTAGGGGTTGGAAGGGACCTCGAAAGATCATCTAGTCCAACCTCCCTGCCAGAGCAGGACCACCTAGAGTAGAGCACACAGGAATGCAACCAGGCGGGTTTTGAACGTCTCCAGAGAAGGAGACTCCGCAACCTCTCTGGGCAGCCTGTTCCAGTGCTCTGTCACCCTCACAGGAAAAAAGTTTTTCCTTATGTTAATGTGGAACCTCCTGTGCTCCAGCTTGCACCCGTTACCCCTTGTCCTATCATGGGTCATCACAGAGAACAGCCCGGCTCCATCCTCCTGACACTCGCCCTTTACTCATTTATAAACATTAATGAGGTCACCCCTCAGTCTCCTCTTCTCCAAGCTCAAGAGACCCAGCTCCCTCAGCCTTTCATCAGAAGGGAGATGTTCCACCCCCTTAACCATCTTTGTGGCTCTGCGCTGGACTCTTTCAAGCAGTTCCCTGCCCTTCTTGAACTGAGGGGCCCAGAACTGGACACACTATTCCAGATGGGGTCTCACCAGGGCAGAGGAGAGGGGGAGGAGAACCTCTCTCGACCTACTGACCACACCCCTTCTAATCCACCCCAGGATGCCATTGGCCTTCTTGGCCACGAGGGCACATTGCTGGCTCATGGTCATCCTGCTGTCCACCAGGACCCCCAGGTCCCTGTCCCCTACGCTACTCTCTAACAGTTCAGTCCCCAACCTGTACTGGTCCATGGGGTTGTTCTTTCAACAACCAGATGTTGTTCATCTTACCCTCTTTCACCTTAAAAGCAGACAATGAAGGGGTTAGGAGGGGACAACTGTAAACAACAGCCTTCTCTTGCTGTTAGCTTACTCTGCAACTCAAGCAGAAGCTCGTGCTATCCTTCAGAAGTTCTAGGATTCAAACCCCATTACTAAACAAGATGGAAGGTCAGTTACAGCGGAAAGAGGGACAATGGTTAGAAAATTACTATCACCTGAAAGAAGCACATCTATGCTAAATGCAAACTACCTAGCTTGTAAAAATGAAGTACCCGAAGTTGAAGAATGTCAACTTTCTTTGGTTAAAAAGGCCGCCTTTATGGTCTAGTCTCCAGTTATATATCATGGTTTCAGAGTCCCTGCCTCATGCTGTTCACAGCAAAGTCACGTTACAGATAATCTAAGTTTCTAACCTTAGTTGAACACTTAAGTGCAGTATCACTAACATCCCGTCAACATGTTATGAACTTGGTTGTCTTGCATGCACCATACAAGTATTCCTTCTATAGGTCTCTCTTCCACTAATATACAGCTTTGGAAATAATTTCCTTTTCATGACAAATTCTTCATATTTTATATACCTGTATCCTTCTGACAGTTGCTTGCATTATTCCTGTTCTCTGATCACACTTTTCTCCGTTCTTCCCATCTACTGACTTAGCAATTAAAACTGTAAGAAATGAATCGTGTTTGTCTGATTTTTTAATTTTATTCCCTCATCCTAGAGCTGTGAAATGCCTTCTAATGTCCATTTTGAAAGTAATGTTTCTAACTAAAATTGTACCTAAAACAGGAATATCATAAGATGTTCAGACTTCAGTGTATGCTTAATATTAATCAATAAATATTGGGGGAAAAATTTAATTATACAATTTGGTAACTCTTCAGAAACTGAACCTAAAAATCTAGTCTCTAAATTCTTATTCAGGTATCCATTAAAAGGATTTTTTGTAACATTTTATTATTTCAAGAATGCAAGTACAAAAGACTTCAAACTGACAAGATTTTAAACTGTCCTCAGAACAGACCATGGGGACGTTTTTCATGTAAGGGAACTATTTTTAACTTTGAAATTAAACTAAAAGTTCAGATATTAAACGAAGATGCTGCTAACTGAATTTTACTGACTTAACAACATACCCAAGCAAAGAACCAGTGAAAAAAACCCAACAGTAATAACACTGAATGATTTTCTGACATCTTGGCTGATTACACAAGTGGGTTATCTTCAAGGAAAGCAAAGAATGTACTTTTCTGTAATTTCCAACACAATATTTAATGAAAAAAGGGAAAACATCACCTTTCAAGTGACAGGAAAAACCAGAGGGTTTTAAAGTTTTTTCGTGGGTTTGGTTTTTTGTGGGTTTTTTTTTTTAATTCTCAATTCTCCATTATTTGCAGAGGGCGTGACTGCAGAAATCAATGTGATCTCAGATAAGCACATTTTATTTTTTCCACACCTCATGGGTTTGTGATGATCCTGACAGGCACAGCTCTTTTTAAGTGCCTTGAATTCAAAGGCAAAGAGCTTCATTTATCTATTAGAGTCAGAGCAGTTTCCTACTGCATCCAGTTCCTTACCTTCCATGGTTATGGAAAGCATTTAAATCAGGGGCTCTGCACCCACACAGCAGAGGCTGCAGAGACCTCACAGGCAGACAAGGAACAAACACGTCTTTGTTTCTAGAAGAGAGGGAGGATTTGAGGGAGGAGGAGGAGGGGCAGACAAGTTAAAAAACAGAGGCAACTTAAGACAATAAAAAAAGATTTTTCCCGTCCTATAGTATGGCTTAGCTTCACTATCTCCAGAATACAGTCAATTGTAATAGCTGCAATATGCTTTTGAGAACTCAGAATTAGTGGTCTTCAAATGTTACACATTAAATGTTCCGCTGTCCAAACTCAACAGCAAAATGCCTGTTCTGTACTGTAGCAGATAATACTTGACAGTTACCGAAAAATGTTTAGACTCCTGTCTACAACCTTAAGGGAAAAAAAACCAAACCAAACCAAAACGAAACCAAAAGAGAAACAATTACCAGTCATCATACTAGAGAGAAAAGGCCAGCAGATTGTTAACAACTCAAACATAAAAGGCTAATTCTCTCCCAAGATCC